CCTCCAGATTAGCACAAGTGACAAGCGCTGCGGGCTCCTCGCCAAGGGCTGCGCTGAGCCGTGCCAGCCCGGCCGGGCGGACTGGCACCCGCTGGGGCGGTGGGGAGGGTGCCGGGGCAGAGCGAAGGGGCAGCGCTGCAGCCCCAGCTCCCAGCCGAGTGGAGCTGGAGACGGAGTGGCTGGACAAAAGGGGCTTTTTGCTGCCAAGAGCTTGCTCTGAGCTGGCATCTGTTTTGGAGGTGTTACGCTGGTGTGCATCAGTGCTAGGTGGGGAGGAGACAGGCTGGTTCTGGATGCGTCCTACCTCAGTTGGGTGCCTGCCTCCAGCGTGGCAGCAAGGGAAGAGTCCTCACTGGCCCCCCGTGTTGTGGGCAGGCTGGGACACAGCAGGCAGGGGTACCCCAGCTGCCCAGTGGGGACATGAGGGCCGTGCCAAGCTGCGATGCTGTCATAGCGCAGTATGGTCTGGGGGCAGCATTAAGTTGTGACGCACTCGGATGGAAACATGCAGTTGGAAGGGAGATGCTCCGTTGCTGCTTCCCGCGCTGTGAAGCTGTGCTGGGAGAGACAGAAGGGTCTGCTGTTCTGGGGCTGTGTAGTCGGCTGGGCAAAGAAATGTTTTAACAGATGTTGGTGCAGCTTTTCATGTTGTAGAATCAAAAGCGCGTGGCAGCAAGGGAAGAGTCCTCACTGGCCCCCCGTGTTGTGGGCAGGCTGGGACACAGCAGGCAGGGGTACCCCAGCTGCCCAGTGGGGACATGAGGGCCGTGCCAAGCTGCGATGCTGTCATAGCGCAGTATGGTCTGGGGGCAGCATTAAGTTGTGACGCACTCGGATGGAAACATGCAGTTGGAAGGGAGATGCTCCGTTGCTGCTTCCCGCGCTGTGAAGCTGTGCTGGGAGAGACAGAAGGGTCTGCTGTTCTGGGGCTGTGTAGTCGGCTGGGCAAAGAAATGTTTTAACAGATGTTGGTGCAGCTTTTCATGTTGTAGAATCAAAATCACGGGGCAGGGATGGGTAGCCATCCCCTGCTGCCAGCTACTGCTGCCTGCAGCAGGGTGGAGGGTGACGCACAGGGCACTGTCCCCATGGCAGCCCACCAAATGGGAAAAAAAATCTGTCCCCAAGCCACTCTGTGTGAATGCAGGAGCCCTTCTGTGGTGGAGGGGAGGAGGGGACATGGGGTGTGCACAGCAGGGTTGGTGTGTGCCAGGTGATGAGTTGTTCTTGAGCATGGGTTGTGTGTGCTGGACAGGCAGCAGGGGTGAAGGGGGGAGCTGTGAAGGTGAATAAGGGGCCTGACTGAGGTACAGTTCCCACTGGTATGTGTCCCTGATCTGACGGTGCCATTCGTTTCCACACAGCTGGAGGTTTGGGTGCCTGGGGGACCTAATAGAGCTTTGTGGCTGCATGTAGAGAAAGATATTTTGCTAAGGAGAAGTTGGGGAAATCCAGCAATGGAGCTTTTGTATTGAAATGTTGTCAGGCACAGAGAGAGGGAGAATCACTGCAGAGAGAGCACTTGGTGTCTGTGAAGTCTGTCCTGCAGAATGTCACGCGGCCATGGCTGGTCACTGGACTGGCAGGAGGAAGGGAAGCCTTGACCTGCACACTTGCAGCGCTCAGAGCTGAGCATTGTGTTGCTTAGTGCAGGAGCCAGCACACTGGAAAGGGGATATGTCCTTAAGAGGTATGATTAATAAAAAAGGCACCACAGAAAGGGTTAAAGCCACCTGTGGGATGCCTAAATTCCTGCCTTAACCCTCCTGTTACTCAACTGCTGGGCTACAGCCCTCAGTGTAGTCCAGTGTGCACCAAAGGTGTGTCCAGGCCAACTTGCTGCCTGGCTCCTCAAATCAGCACTGGATCTCCCCTCTGGTCTGCTCTGAGCTGGGGAGCTGAAGGAGGATGCCTTCTCCCTGCCCTGCTGTCCCCTGTGGGGGCTGGCACTAGGACTGAGTTGGAGCATCCAAACCACCTGCTTCTTGCCCAGTTCAGCCCCTCACCCCTCCTAGAGATGTTTGCTAGAGCAAGACTGTGGTAGGTTCAGCTTGCTGCTTTTGGGAGTGAAGGCACCAAAGAAAGATGTTGTTGATTCAGTTAGAAATCCCGCTGGGACAGTATATTCCTGGGTCTCTTCTGTGTTGCGCATGTCTAGGGCAGAGCTGGCTGGCTGGCCCAGCATGCTGCAGCAGTGAGCTCATAACCTGGTGATGACAAAAAAAACCCCCAATCACTCTTGGGGTCGGGTGGTGGTGGCATGGGGCCAGTGACCTGTTTTCTCTTGGGCAGAACTTGCAAGTTCGGAGCTGCCTGGTGGTGCCGACTTTTCAGCCCAGGGAGAATTAATCCATGGAACAAAGCCTGAGGAGAGGGACTTGATGAAAACTGGTGTTTCTGGTCTCAGCTGACATGGTTGTGAGTTAGGCTTCAGGAGCCTGCACTACCTGTGCTTCCCCAGCAGAAATGGTCCATGCACCAAAAAGCCTGGAGTTCAAACAGTGGTACTGCCACGGGAGCAGAAAAGCAGGATGAGTTTTGTGGCCGAGTGCATCTTCTCCGCTAGGACTTGGGCTGAGTCCACCAGTTTTGTTTCTGAGACAGGTGTCGGCTGGGGGTGGTGTTTAGCCAAACAGAGTCTTGGCAGGATTTAAGTGTAGACAGTAAGCTTTGCACTGCTCTCTCAACCCCTCAGCTCCCTCATTCATCTCTCACTGTCCCCTCCCACAAGAATGCTGAGCAGCCCCTGCTCCCCATCTCTGAGATGGGGGTCTCTGGCAGCTCCTGCCTGCAGCAGACTTGTAGGATGCTGTTGGAGCTTGTAGTGGGGCGGCTGGAGCCTCTGGAAGCCACAAGGCAGTTCAGCCTGTGAGATGTTTGCCAGTAGTCCCAGAGCCCAGGTTTTTATAGCCCAGTGCTCTGCCAGGCTGTTCTCTGGCACTGTACCATCCAGAATTACTCCCTGAGCATCTTCTGACATAAGCTCCTTCACTTGGTGTTTAGCAGCAATCCTCCTGCAAGCACAGGGCTGGGGGACTAGGGGCTGCAGTCCTTTCCTGTGGCATCTCACCTTGTCCTCCAAAATCCCCACTCAACCAGCTCATGTCTCCCTTCCTTGAGACACAGAGCCCATCCCTCTCTGTATCACCACTGAGCCAGGTGGAAGCCAAGTGATGTGACCCATTCTGCCTATTCTCTTCGTGGAGCTTTTCTGCCCTTTCCAGTCCCCACCTCTCTCTGCCACTTTTCCAGTCTCATTTTTGTTGGTTCTCAGCATCTCTCAGCTGTGTCCCCAGCAGTGAATAAGATCCCTTTCCTTCTGTGGCGATTCCTTATAATCCACATAGCTCTGAGACACTTGCTTCTCTCCCTGCTCTGCCCCAGGTTATATTCTGCAGGAGTTTGTGTTATTTTTTTCCCCCCATGGTCTTCTCTAGGTCTCCTTTCACCTTTCCTTTCTCCTCTCACTGCGAGCAGGCAGCCGCTGCTCACACCCCAGCATCCTGCTCCTCTGACTCTGCGGTCTAATCTCTTGGGCACCAAGGCTGTACCCCCTCTGTGAGCCTCCTGGCTTCCCAGGAGACAAGTGAGCCCTGCTTTCTGCCTGCTAGTTCAGGGCAATCCCTTTCTTCCTCTGAGGAAAGAGCTGGTGCTTTGCCAGTGTTTCCCTGACAGGGAAGTGCGGGAGGAGCCGGGTCCCTACTCCGTGCTGGCTGGTGCGCCTCTCGGGGGAGTGATGGATGTCCCTTCCCCACACACCACTGGGGCCTGTCTGCTGGATGGCTTTCCTGGGCCCCTACATGCCTCCAGTTGTACTTTCTCAGCCACCAGTAAGATCTCTCAGCAGCAGTCTCTGGCCCAGTGATGGATGTTGACAGCTGCCTGAACAGCCTGTGCAAGACTTGCGTATTTTCCTCCAAGGATGATGCCTTCCAGATACTGCTCCAAAGCCCTCTGTGAGCCCTGTGTTGAAACCCTCTCCAGAGCCTCCCTGGCTGCAGAGCCATACTGAGTGCCTCTGGCTTGCACCCAGCTCAGACCAGACAAACACTTGGGAGCAGGGTCCTGGAGCATCCTGCTGTAGGCAGGCTTAGCTTGTTCCTGAGCTGGGGTGCAAGGCAGTGGGTCCTGCCTTGCTCAGCTTGGTAGTGTTTGGGCTGGCAGCAAGGGCAAGGTGCTGAGGACTGCCATTAAGGGGGTGAGGACAGGCCACAGCCACCCCAAGCAGCAGCAGCCCAGCAGCAGGCACACATTCATCATTCTTCAACCAGCCACAAGGTCCTCTGAGGACCTCATGCATGATGGTATGCTGGTATCTTTGCAAATCCAGAGCTACTACCCTGCTAAGTCTCTCCTGAATCCTAAGCATGCTCTTGGGCAGCCTCCCACGGGAGCATCACATTGCTGTGGAGTGCTGGGTGCTGCCCTGAGCCTACCTCTGCTGGCCTAGGACAAGCAGTGACAGCAGGGAGGTCTCTGGCTGTGGTATATTGTGGCATGGAGCTGCTGTAGGTGCTGGGGCAGGCTGAAGTCCTGCTTAGTGGGATGCAGGTATACACCATCAAAATGCAGCCTGAAGGCTTGCTCTTCTGGGGCCCAGGCCTCCTGAAGGTCATCCTTTTGGCCAGCCTGGGACACCCTGGAGTGAGGGAGAAGCAGCTCTCCTAAGGACTTGGAAATGTTTGGTGTGCCTCACCATCATGCTGTGAATGCCGTGCCCCTTTCATGGGCAGATAGAGAGGAGTGAGAGGAGAGGTGAGACTGCCTGGACCATCTCCAGCACTGTGCCCCATGTGTGTGTGGGGTTGCAGGTCCAGTGGTGCCCAGGAGAAAGTGTCTGTAACTCTGAAACAAGGCCAGGTGGCTTGCTCAGCCAGGACCTGGGGATGCTTTGCCTTCAGTACCACCTAAGCCAGTCTGGTGTGCCCCCTCTGTTCCTCAGAGCAGCTCCCCAGTCCTGGTGCCACTCTCCTGCTGACCCATTGCTCTTCTCTTTGCAGGCACTGTATGGCTCCATCAAGAATGAGAAGCTGCAGTGGGCTATGTGAGTATTTAACCCTCTTGGGGATGCTGCTGCCTGGGGCACCCTGGCCCAGAGGCCCCATCAGCCATGGTGCTGCAGGGCTCTGAGGATGTGGGGTGGGATGAGGATGCCTGAAGAACATACCTCTAGCTGCCCTCAGCACCTCAACGTGGGTGGATCCGTTCCCCAGCATGCTGGGGGAAGGCTGCCTGAGGCCAACTCCCTGCCACTTGAGCTTGGCTTTGTGCTTCCATACTCAGGGTGGGGGCAGGCAGGCCCTGGGGGGGCCGTGGCTGCGCTGTGGCTGTGCCGGGGCCCCGCAGGGTGCCCGCACCCTCGCCCACAGCTGCCATCTCCCGCAGCAGGAGCGGCAGCGCCCGCGCTGCGGGGATTAATCAGCCCGGCGGTACCGCCAGCGCTGAGCCATTGCACCCGGGCTGCTGCCATGGAGACGCCGGCAGATGCTGAAAGGTTTAATTAGCAGCAAGTGGGGCCAAGGGAGGGGGGAAGCAGCAGCTCTGGGTTCCCACACCTTCCTGCCGTGTGGGGGGAGCAGCACCAGTGCAGCCTGCCTGCTGCAGCCATCCTGCAGCACAGGGGGCCATGGCCTGCAGGGAGAACATAAGTGGGGGCTTGCCCCCTCCTGCTCTCTTGGCTCCCTACCTTCTGCCCACATGTGCTGCCTGCCCAGGCTGGTGCTGCCTGAGGCCTCCCCATCACAAGCTCCTCATACCCCTTTACTGGTGCCTCTGAGCCCCACAGTCTGGCTGCTGCCCTGAAGGCATGGGGACCGCAGCCTTGGTGTCTCTTTGGGGGGGTTTACCTTCTAGATCCTCTCTCCTGCCAGCTGGGGACCTGTGAGACCACAGGCTGGGGACTGTGATAGTGCCAAGTCCCTGAGTGCTACTCCTCCATGGCCTCTGTCATCAGTCCTGCCCTGTCCAAAAATGCTCTTCCCCCCCTGAGGCAGGGCCCCCACCCTGAACTGGCAGCAGACACTCCCATGCCTTGTCTTTTGAGGGGCCAGGAAGCATCACAGCTGCCTGGAGGGGCAGGGGCACAGAGGCATGCCTAGATTAACGCTGCTCTCCAGTGACTCTGGGAGACTGCTCAGCCTCTGCTGCTGCTCCTGGCCTCCCAGAAGCCAGGCCTAAAAGTAGCCCTGTCCAGCGGGCAGCTTGGTGTTTGCTGTCCCCAGCAAGGTGACAAACCCTTTTCCCACCCAAATCTGTGCCTGGCAGAGATGAGGAGGAGCTGAGAAAGTCCCTCTCAGAGCTGGCAGACCCCAACCCGAAGTCCATCAAGCGCATCAGCAGCTGCAGTAACCCCTTTCTGGACTTCTCCCAAGACGCCAGCATCGCCACTTACAAGCACGGACTGTTAGTGCGCAAGATCCACGCTGATCCTGACTGCAAGAAAAGTAGGTGCCTGGGGAATCCATGGGAGGGACTCGGGGCGAGAAGGCATCAGGGAGCTCCAGAAACCTAATAGAGAACAGAGCAGGAGTTACTACATGGTGTCTGACTGTCGCATCATGCCAGGTGCTAGCATCAGCCCCTGTTCTCTGTCCATCCAGCTGTGCCAGGCATAACTCAGCCCCCAGCCTGGGGAGCCTGAAAACCCTCTCCCTGCCTGTCTGTCCCCACCACCAGGGCTGGGCAGAGGCTGAGATAGCAGCAGGCCAGCGCAGCTGCTGCACATGGGAAGAGAGTAGGCAGGGAGGTGGGGTGAGCTCCCTGGGGGATAACCATTGCCACAGGGTGGCAGGGACAAAGGAACGTCGTGTCCTGTGATGTGGCAAACAAGCTGCACAGGGGGCTGCCTCTGGTTGGGCGCTGCCAGGCACGTTCACCATTTCCACCGTTAAATCCCCACTAAGCCCTGGCCATCTAATGCTGCCTTGATCTGATTAGTTGCAGCCGCCCTCCAAAGCCAGCATTACCTGGCAGGCAGCACTGCCTTGTCCTCATCCCTGTCCCTGAGCAGGGAGGCAGCTGAACACAGACGGCAGGGCGGGCAGTGAGGTGGGGAGGGCAGCGGTGCTGGCCCCGGGGGGCAGCGCGGGGTCCCCTGTCAGCAGCACCATCTGCCAGCCACGCGGCCGGCACGGGCTCAGGTGCGCAGGGACAGCCCTGGTGTGCTGCCCGTCCCCGGGGGGTGATGTGCGCCATGGCAGGGCTGGCTGGCTGGAGCAGGATGGGGGGGATGCCTTTCACCCACTCAGCGCTGGGGCTGATGACTGGGCTGCTCTCTTCTCCCTGGCAGCACCTCGAGGGAAGCGCGGCTGGAAACCCTTCCATGCCATCCTGAAGGGGATGATTCTCTACCTGCAGAAGGTAGGTGGCACTGGGACCACTCATATCTGTGGTAGGGAGAAGAATTGTCCCCAGCCCAGGGAGGGAGGTCACAGCAGTGCCCAGGGCAGCAAGAGAGGGGTGCCAGGGCATGGCATCCCAAGGCCTGTCCTAACAAGACTTGGCACCATGCCTGCTTGAAACACTGCTTGGGGACCTGGTGATATCTCTGTTCCCAACATACTTGGGCTTGGACTGGCTGTTGAAAGTGCCTGCCAGCTGAGGGCTCTGGTGACTTGGCTGAGAGAGAGGAGGCACCAGGGCCTCTGCTCTGGGGGTGGTTTGGGCTACAAATCCAGTCTCCTGCAGGCACACATGCTGCCTAGCTGTGGGGCAGCAAGGAACAGCTACTGTGCTGTTGCCAAGCCCATGCACCCACGTTGTGCAACCTCTCCCCATGGGTATAGCATGAGCTGGAGGCAGAGCCTGCAGCAGTCAGATGTAAGGAGATATCCATGTGCCACACTGAAAGCACTCACCTGCAGGCTCTATGACTTCATGGACCTGACTCGTGGGGTGCATCCCTAAGCTGGCTCTGAAATGTCCCATGATTTGCAGGAGGAGTATAAGCCAGGGAAGGCACTGGCAGAAGAGGAGCTGAAGAATGCTATTAGCATCCACCATTCACTTGCCACGCGGGCGTTTGACTACAGCAAGCGACCTAATGTCTTCTACCTCAGGACAGCTGACTGGAGGGTCTTCCTCTTCCAAGCACAGTGAGTTTCCCAGAATCACTGGTTGATCACTGCCCACACTGGGCACAGGGGCTCATCTGACTGGGGTGGAGGGTGGAATGGGGCTTACAGCCACATTGCTCTTCCCTGTCACGGCTCTCTCTGGAAGGAAAGGGACCCAGTGTCAGCACTGTGCTTTCCCAGCTCCTCTCCTTCCCACTCCAGTGGGCTCTTGATGGCCCAAGTCACTTGGGGCACAGCCCTAGGTGCTGTAGCTGGCCAGAGCCAGGCCTGGGGGACCTAGATCTCATCTGCAGGGAAGATCACTCTGCCTGTGACATGGATAGTGCCACTTTGAGTCCATCTGTGTTTTGGCTTCTCTCCCCAGGAACCCTGAACAGATGCACTCGTGGATCACGCGCATCAATGTGGTGGCAGCCATGTTCTCCGCGCCCCCCTTCCCTGCAGCCATCGGCTCCCAGAAGAAGTTCAGCCGCCCGCTGCTGCCCAGCTCCTGCACCAGGCTGTCCCAGGTGGGCCAGGGTGTTGGGAAACCTGGGCCATGGCACAGAGCCCCTGGGTCTGCTGGTGTCACTGTCCCCTGTGCAGAGACTCCTGTAGCACCATGTGCCCAGCTGCGTCCCAGCGGGGTTGGGGGCCAAGGGAGCATGGATGGGGGGACACAGAGCAAGGGAGTGCCAAGGCTGGGAGCAGACAGTGAGATCTTGCTCCCAGCAGTGGGAACAGGAGACAGTCAGACAGTGGAGGAGAACATAGACCATAGACCCACATCATGGCTTGCACAGTCTTGCCAGGGCCAGGACCTTGAAAGGCAAGTGGTCAGGGGGATTAGCTGGCACTTGCATGTGCCAGGGCAGTTATTCATAGAGTGAAAGGATTAAAAAAAAACCCACCAGCCTAGTTTTAGAGGGGATTAATTTCTTCTGCTTTAAGACTGAAGCCAGCCCCTCACGAGGCTAGAACAGATTGCCCCCAAGAGCCTGTGCTTTGCCTGCTGTTTGAAAAAAAAACAACAAACAACAAAACAACAAACCAGAAGCCGAAGCTGACATCCTGTCTCAACCTAGGAGGAGAAAAACCTATTCTGGCCCTGGTCCTGGCCAGCTCATAGTGCTGGGGAGGGAGACAGAGCAGAGTGCAGAGCACGGGTCTGACATGGTACCACCTTTCCCCAGGAGGAGCAGGTGAAGAGCCATGAGACCAAGTTCAAGACGATGTCAGCAGAGCTGCTGGAGCATCGTTCCTCACTGCCTGAGAAGAAGGTGAAGGGCAAGGAGTATGAGGAGCTGAAACAGAAAGAAGAGTACCTGGAGTTTGAGGTGAGCTGGGAGAATATCCCCCCTCCCCCCCTGCCCACTTGGCCATCCTGAGTGATATGATCCCCCACTGTCCCCCATCATCTGAATTGCACAATGCCATTGCCATGCTCTGGGACCATGAGCATCCCCCCACATCCTGAGGTCTGCTGGCTGAGGGTCAGTGCCCGGCTTGCTGACCCCTCTCTCTGCTGCACTGTGCCCCCCAGAAATCCCGCTATGGCACCTACGCCATGCTGCTGCGGGCCAAGCTGAAGGCAGGCTCTGAGGATCTGGCAGCATTCGAGTCCACCCTCTTTGACTCATCGGGCAGGGATGATGATGGCCTGAAAAAATCCCACTCCAGCCCCTCGCTGAACGCAGAGCCCTCCAGCACGGCCGCCAAGGTGAAGCGCAACATCTCGGAGCGCGCTGGCCGCCAGTCCCCTGGCCACCCCCAGAAGTCGTAAGCAAGGGGCATCAGCCACCTGCACTGCAGCTCCTTTCCTGCCCCCCCAGTGCCCGGGTGGAGGGCACATGCTTGCCGAGACCCTGCATGAGTCCGTCCGTCTGCGGCACGAGCTGGGGGTGACAGCCCTTCCCCAGCTGCCAGCACCAGCCAGGCAGGGCCATGGCCCCTCCATCGGAGACAGGGGGAGGGCAGCACGGACCCTGGGCCGTGCTCACAGGAGCTGCCTGCACCGTTGGCCCTAGGAGACTCGTTCCAGCCCCTCTTTGTCCTGTGCTTGGCTGCAGGACGCTGTGCTCCTGCCCTGGGGAGGGGGAACAACTTCAACCCACCCACGGGGCTCTGTTCTTCAGTGGTTAAAAAAAAAAAAAAAAAAAGAAAAAACAAACAAACAAATCCAACAAGAAATTAATATCTGACTCAAAAAAATCTTGACTGATCTCTGAGAGGACAGAAAAAAGTGTTGAAAGAAAAATATTGTCTGAAAGCTTAATAAAGAAATTGTTGGAGAATTTAAATAACTCATCCCTGCCAGCTCAGCCATCTCTGCACCCTCCCCGCTTTCTTACAACTTTTGAACAGTTTTTGTGATACAGTTTTGCACTTTTTAGTACCAGATCAAGCTGACCACCAGGAAGGGTGTTGTGTTGTGTTGTTTTTTTTTTTTTGGGGGGGGGGCTAATTTTGAGGCTTTTTTGGGAACTGTTTAAAAAACAACAAAACCACAAACCCAGCCATGTCCTGTAGGCACTGCACTCTGGGGGGTGGAGGTTCTTAAATGGACTCAGGGGGAAACCCAGCTCCCTGCCTTCCCCCCCCAACCCTGCAGCAAGCTGATCATGTGTGCTGCTGCCTGCACCTCAGCTCTACTCTGGTAGCAGCAACCCTCTGGTGAGAAAGCCCTGCAGCCACTGGCACCAGGGGGGCACCCTTGGGATGGTTGCATGGGGGGTGGGCTGATGGGTTGGTGCTTCATGACACCCACCCCCCCACTGGCAGTCTGGACCAGCCCCGTTTGCACCTCCTGGGTGTGAGAGTTGTATTGGGCCAGTGGGGAGGTGATCCCTGAAGCCAGAGTTAACCTGGGTCTCTTCACTGCCCTATGGGGCTGGCACAGGCCAGACCCAGCTTTCTTTCCCATGCTGCTTCCCCAGTGTATGGCTGGGGTCTTGGAGGCTGCCAGCAAAGCCCAGTCCACAGCCCTGCAAGGTCCTCATGATTCCGCAGCAGTGGTGCAGCCCCTTCCTCTGCCATAGGCACCCTTCTTGCCAATGTGAGGGGTAGCCCCCACCACCCCAGGGTGAGCTGGAGGATGCTCTTCTGGAGCTAGGTGCCAGTGGTGGAGCATGGCTGCAGGAGTGCCCAGGGTGTGCAGGGAGGGATCTGGGGACAGCAGAAGGGCTGCAGGTGGGGGATGTTGTACACGCTGTTCTCAGATGCCTGGGACCCATCTAGTTTCAGCACTGACTTTGCGAATGTGTCAAACTTTTTATTCTGCTCTTTTGAGACTATTGCAAAAAAAAAACCAAAAAACAAAACGGGAAAAAAAACAAGAAAAAAAAAAACAAAAAACAAAGAAAAAAACCCAAAACAACCCACCCTTGCCCCAGGCGGCTTGTGGGGGGAGAAAAACATTTGTACAGCTTCTTCTCTCGGTTACTGAAGTAAAACTCGCTCTTCACTTCCGTGTGCACTGTGGTTTCTCCCCCACAGTTGGGGTCAGCCTCAGCAGAGAGGGATGCTGAGAGGCTGGAACTGCCTCCTTGCTGCTGGACTCCTAGCCCCAGGCAGGGCTCCAGGAGGTTAGTGCCTGCTGGCTCAGGGCTGGGGTTGGAGACAGGAGGGCAAAGGCTAAGGGAAACTCTCCCTTTATGCAGAAGGGGAACCATTAAATAAGAGCAGAGAGCCGGCTGCATTCTGTCCCCCCAAGTCCAGGCAGCCAGGCCCTAAGTCTGGAAGGCACTTGTATGGGCAGGGCAGGGTGGGGGACAATGTGCTCCACACCCCAGGGCAGGTGTGGGGGCTACCAGCCCCTCAGTGCACCTGTGGCTGCTGGCTGTGGGGCAGGTCACTCCCTGGCCCTGGCTTCAGGGCCAACGTGGGTCCCTGCTCCTCTTCCACGGACTCGCTGCCATAGGCACTGTCTTCCTTCAGCTCTGCAAAGCAAACCCAAATCTGCTGTCAGCAATGGGGCCATCAGGGAGCAGCAGGGACATGAGCCTCCCCATCCCCTTGCCCTCTGTACCTGTACTTTGCAGCTTCTCCAGCGCCTCGGTTTTGTGGAGCATCCTGACGGCCTTGCGGAGCCCCATGGAGTCCAGTGCCTCCAGCAGCCCTCCCAGGCTGCCCCCTGCCAGCTGTGGAGAGAGGGCACTGAGCAGGGCCAGCAGCCAGCCAGGCATGGGGGAGGAGGATGCCCCAGCTGGCCACTGACCTCGTAACTGCGCAGTAGGCTGACACTGGGTGAGGGGGTGTCCTTGTAGGTCTCCACTAGGCTGCAGAGCCCCAGGCGCTTGGCCGACCCCTCTGAGCTCATGTTCCGGCGGCTGCACCAGCCCCTGCAGTGCCTCACTGTCCAGCGACAAGACCTTCCCTGTATGGGAGAGGTGCCTTCATCATGTGCTGCCCATCCCCATTGCTGGGAGGGTCCTGCCCTGCCTGGGCATGGTGCTTTTTTGGGTGGGGAAGAGGGGATGCTCACCTGGCTGTGAGGCAGTGGGCAGTTCTGCTGCGGGGTCCTGCTGAGAGGCCTGCAGCAGGATCTCCCGCACCTGTGGACACATGCAGACATCAGCATCCCCCAAAACCATCCAATCCACCCTGTCTCCCCACACCACAGCTCTCCCTGGCACATGGAGGGGCACAGGCATCCTCACAGGAGCATCTCCTGGACCTCTGTCCCATCCCTGCCCCTGCAGAAAGGCTCCCAGGGATTTGATTCCCGCACACACCTTCTGGCTCTGAGTCAGGTCCAGGGGCGTGTGGCAGCGGCGCGGTCTGTGCCCCGCCTGCCCGTGCCCCTGCGCAGGGGGCTGGGGGTCGCTGCCTTGCTCCAAGGCTGGGGCCAGCTCCCCCAACTCCATTGCCAGCTCCTGCTCTTCGGGGTCGGCATCTGTGTCACTGCTGGCTTCTGACGAGGAGGGGCTGACAGGCTCGTCATTCTCACACAGCATGTCTGCCCCTGTCAGGGAAGGGTGGACTGAGACCCCAGAAGGGGCAGGTCGGCCTGGGAAGCCAGAGTTTGCTCTGGGTGGGCAGCTGGAGCTTCATGGAGGGGAGGGCAGCACCTTACCAGCTTTGAGAAGCAGTTTGGTGAGGGTAGGAGAGCCCAGGCCAGCAGCCAGGTGCAGGGGGGTGTTCCCAGCAAAGGTCCGGCTGTTGACATCTGCTCCCAGCTGTGGAGAAAAGCATAAGGCTGTGAGGATGGGCTGTCTGGGTGCTGCCCCCACCCCATTCCCTGTCATCACAGGAGACTCCCACCTGGCCCAGGGGGAGACTGCACCCCATCCCACAGCCACCAACCCACCTCCCCCCTGTACCTTCTTCACCAGATGGGTGACCATGTTCAGGTTCTCCATCTCCACAGCCAGGTGCAGCGGGGTCGCTCTGAGGCGGGTCCAGGGGCGTGTGGCAGCGGCGCGGTCTGTGCCCCGCCTGCCCGTGCCCCTGCGCAGGGGGCTGGGGGTCACTGCCTTGCTCCAAGGCTGGGGCCAGCTCCCCCAACTCCATTGCCAGCTCCTGCTCTTCGGGGTCGGCAGCTGTGTCACTGCTGGCTTCTGACGAGGAGGGGCTGACAGGCTCGTCATTCTCACACAGCATGTCTGCCCCTGTCAGGGAAGGGTGGACTGAGACCCCAGAAGGGGCAGGTCGGCCTGGGAAGCCAGAGTTTGCTCTGGGTGGGCAGCTGGAGCTTCATGGAGGGGAGGGCAGCACCTTACCAGCTTTGAGAAGCAGTTTGGTGAGGGTAGGAGAGCCCAGGCCAGCAGCCAGGTGCAGGGGGGTGTTCCCAGCAAAGGTCCGGCTGTTGACATCTGCTCCCAGCTGTGGAGAAAAGCATAAGGCTGTGAGGATGGGCTGTCTGGGTGCTGCCCCCACCCCATTCCCTGTCATCACAGGAGACTCCCACCTGGCCCAGGGGGAGACTGCACCCCATCCCACAGCCACCAACCCACCTCCCCCCTGTACCTTCTTCACCAGATGGGTGACCATGTTCAGGTTCTCCATCTCCACAGCCAGGTGCAGCGGGGTCCTCCCACCCTGCCTCTCCACCGCGTTCACATCGGCTCCTTTCCTAACCAGCAGGTCCAGGCACGACAAACTCTTTGCCTTCACAGCCAAGTGTACAGGCAGGAGGCCTGCAACAGGGGTAGAGGCTCAGCAGCTCTCCAGCCAAGCCCACAACCGCACCACTGGGTTCCTGCCCATCATCTCCCAGCCCCACTCACCGTGGAAGCTGGGCAGGCGGAGCAGGTAAGGGGCGGATGAGCCCAGGTGGGCCAGCAGTGTCTTCAGCATCTCATCGTCACCAGCCTGGAGTGCCAGGTGCAGCAGGGAATTGCCATAGCGGTCCAACAAGGTGGGGTCGGCACGGGCTTGCAGCAGGAGCTGGACTACTTGGGGCTGCTTGGTGATGACTGCCAGATGCAGTGGTGTCTGTGGGACAGAAGCACTCCCTCAGCCACATCCACAGGAGGAGCTGAGTCCTGCGCCACTGTCCTTGCCAGCGTGGCTGCACCATGCTCTGCCTCCCTGCAGCAGGAGCAGCAATGGGAGCTCCTGGGATTGGGAAACTGGAGCAAGCCCCAGGCAGAGGAGAACCAGCTGTCCCAGGAAACCGTGTACCTGCTGCAGGTTGTTGGAGATGTTGATGATCTGCTGGTTGGGGATGCTAACGATGACCTCGATCAGCTGCTTGATCACAGCCGTCTGCTCATGGATAATAGCAAGGTGCAAAGGCCTGTAGAGAAAGCAGGGATGGCCCTTGGGCTCAGCTCCACACCTCTCTGCATCCTGTCACCTTCCACTCCCCAGTGCCCAATAACGGGGGAGCAAGATGGCCAGCAAGACTTCCTCACTGTCCCACCCCCAAACCACTTGTGCACTCACGTGTCTCCGTTCTCATCCTGTGATGCAGCCAGGTCCCTCTGGACTGCCAGCAGCATGCGGGGGTCAGCAGTGACCGAGTAGTCCAGCAGGGCATGGGCGTTGTGACGGGCCAGCGCCAGCATCCACAGCTGGCAGAGATGGGCTGGGGGGCAAAGCAGGACATCACCTCTGGAAGCGGCAGGTGCAT